CGCCCGTCCAAAACAAAAAACGATCAAACAGAGTTCCAGTTCAGTAAATTATGAAGCACTAATTACTGTGACCGAACGTAACTGAAGGGAAAAAAAACATAAAAAAGGCTTTCAATCTTACGTGAATAAGTTCAGAAGCATATAAAACAACATACAGAACGGTGAACTGCTGAAAATTTATAATTTCGAACATTCACAACTTCCTGATTCAGCTCGAAAATTTGTTCATGCTGCGCGATGACAAAAGTTACGAGGCAATCAATCCTCTGCCCCTCTCCCCCTTAACTCGCTCTCAGTGAGGGGCGAAATCATTCGAGAAGTAGCCTAAGTGGTAGCAAATGCCAACAGCAACCACACGTTAGTGAGGGTGTCGATGGCTCCCTCTTTCGACGGCTGCTTAAAGCGAAGTTGATGGCGAGTTTGACTTCCTTACATATGCCAGTACCAATTTTTCCACCGAAACAAATGGACGAATAGCAAAGGGAGTGGTTGTTTCACCCGCGGAATCGAACCTGCGACCTACTGCACGACAACAGTGATATCGCACTGCGCTATGCCTACCAGCTATGAGGAAACCATCGAATAAAAAAGTACAAAACGCTTGTAAGCTGACTAATGAAGAGCTTCGACAACCCAAAACTTGGCTAAGTGAGACCTAACCAGTAAAGTTGAAAAGTATAGGGCATCAAAACGCTTATTTTACACTCGATTAAAAAGATCTCAAAGCACATTATTGAAACAGGTATTGACGAATGGGTGCTAACCACGTCTTGGCCGAGCTCCCATGAAATTGATTTCACTTCGAAGTGTCTCAAATGAACAGACAACAATATCCTGTGTGGCCAGATATTCGGGATGTTTGTAGCCATCATATAAGACTCCTCGATACATCTGAAATGTATTTTATCAAGCATATGTTCAAGCCTAAAAAGGGAAGCATCAAATTGCCCAAAACCATTTTTTTCCTCTTTTTCTTATTAAATGCTTGGATGTTTGAAAATTAGAAAATATTAATTGTTTGAAAATCTAGTGCTCCTAAACTTAATTCAAAACAACCCACTGCGTTTCCATAGCTTTCTTTAGTTGAAAACACTACGGACCGTAGCAGTCAAGCCAATTTCCTTTTTTTTTTGCATTACAAACCATAATTATCTCTCGATTTTTCCACCAAAACCAATGCTCCAACCAGTTTTGCCTTAATGAAACACTGCGCTGGACTTACCTTGACTAGTATACCATCTTATTCTTAAATAAGTGGCATTCTACTACTTAAACCGATTACTTAGAAGGACGAAAAATGATAAACACAACGAAGTAACTGTTAAACAGTATCCGTAGGAATAATAAGCAAGCGTTCCGTAGGAGGGTCACCAAAATCTACTAGATACAGGTCTGAAGACGCCTATAGGCAGATCCAGGGTGGCTTCCTGGAAGAGGCTCCTTGCGACAACGACCGGAGAGGGGGGTTGGGAAACGGGGAAGGGAAGGGGAGGAGGAGGGGCGCGGCTCCTGGAAGAGGGTCGACGGGGAGTGCGGAAGGGAGTTTTCTTCAGTATTATCTTTAAAACCGGACTTTTTTAGCAGTGGTGCCTGTGTCTCTGAGGGCAGGAGGGGAGG